GTGATATCGAAATGGGCGAAATCGCCTCTTGATGTCACTAACTACCTTGAACCTTGCAACAGCAGCATTTTCCCCACAGGTTGATGTGTGAGGTCTATCAGAACATTGTGCATTACCAGTACATTATTACTAGCGTTGTTCTGGGAGACCATGCACTGTACCATAACATCAAACTAATCATGAATTATTCGAAGTTTTAGTACATTATGGTGATATCCTCCACCGTGTCCTTCAGAATGAGGCGAGTCACAGGTCTGGGATGTGGTTCTTCCCCCTCATTCCTCCAATATAGGCAGTTGCCGTGGAAGGATTTATATATACGCGTATATTTTCTTCGGTTTGGCTAAGGACGCCCTCTCGATGTCTAATATATATAGACGCTCGTGACTGACTGACCCCAACCATGTTCTAAAAGGGCTAGAAATCTGAAACTTGGTACACATGTACCTTTGGGATGCATAGTTCGGAAAAAATACGATTTTGGAGGTACATGCCCTGGGGATACACATTTTGGGGGAAAGGTTTTGCTTCAATATATTCTGTGACAGATGAGAATGGCATTCAGAGAATCAACTGGATGTGCTGGGTTCAGTGTTGTAGTAGTAGCATATCTGACTAGCAATCAAAAGGTCCGGGTTCAATTCCCGGCCATTCCTTGGCTTTATCAGGCTTTTTTGCCTTCCATGTCCTGTTACTCATTCCCCCTCGATGACATTATTTTTGCCTGAGTAAAACGGGGAGACGTGGAAAGCTGAAACTTGGCATGGACGTACCTACCAAGACGATGAGTTCAGGAAAAATAGAAAACATTAGATCCATGCCCTGGAGGCATATTTTTGTGAACCGACGTTTTCAAGTATTTTTTTGTTCTGGGGTATTCAGCTAGTGTGGAAAGATGACATCTAACTTTTATTATATACTAGAGAGTTTGTTTGCCCTTCAGGCAAACAAACTCGCTATGGTCGCGCCTTCGGCGTTAACTTACCTTGGATAGTGATTAATTCATTTCTTTTTTGCGAAATGTATTTAAAGTACGTCCCCATTGAAATACGTGACATATGGGTTCGAATGTCTTGATTTTTTTCATCAAAATCATTACCTCTATGATTCTGTGTGCCTGACTTAAAATCTTTTCTTGTGTCCCTTTTTGTAAGGGTGGAGAATACATTTTGAAAAACTTCCCTCCAATAATCTATGCTAAGGATACATATTTCAAAATTAGGATTTCTCCTCTACTCAGCCATCAAACAGGCACTTCTGAGGGAAGTTTAAATTTGCTGTCTCTGTTTCGTTGGATCAAAAAAAAATCAGGAAAATGGGACTGAAAAAAGTGCACTAATGGTGTTAACAAATTATTATTATTATTTTGAAATGTAGACTCAGGGTACTCCATGCCACCCAGTTTCAGCCTTATACGTTTCCCCTTTTTGCTGACGATAAAAAATATATTTGGAAAAGGACCCCATCCAAAAGCTGTGATCTGGGAAAACGCTCAGCAAAAGTTGAATTTTTTCTTAAATCAACATCACGGCCGTTATGCGTGCGATAGCTGCTATTCTTCTATTTCTGCCCGATTCGCTAGGATATTAAAAATTCTTTGAAAACGTTACGTCCCCAAGAAATATGCCCCCTAAAAATATTTTGGAAATTTGACATTTGAGCTGAGTGCTTCACCATTCACGTTCTTGCCATGTTACAGCTTTCCATGGGTCTCGGTTTGTTTGAAGCAAAGATAACTATTTTTAAAATGTTCCCCGAAAAGGTGTGCCCCTATGGCGTGTATCACCCAAGTGGAATTTTTCCTGAACTCAGCATGTGAATAACTACTTATATCAGTCAGTCAGTCACGATCGTCTATCTAATATATATAGACGATCGTGACTGACTGACTGATTGACTGACTGACGCTAATTCTAACCATGTTCTAGACATGATGAGAGGCTGAAACTTGGTACACACATAGTTGCTAGATTGCTGACTCCAGAAAAATTCCAACTTTGGGGGTAAGTGCCCTGGGGGCTCATTCCAGGGGGTCTCATTTTGTAAGCCTAGATCTAACCCTCAGACGGACGCTTAGGCCTAAGCCATTCTCAGGCTCCCCTTGCCTTCAACAAAACGGAAGGAACGTGAGTAGCTGATGGGTTGTCCATTCCAGAGAAAGTCTAACTTCGAATGCCCAACTTTGGGGGTCCATGCCCTGGGGGCACGTTTTGGGGGAGGGGTTGGGGGACTGA